GCTCGGGTTCCCCCGACCGATGTCTGGCGCCGTGCGAGTATGTGTCTTGTCATTTTTGCCACCACTCGTGGTGGCATCATCATTTTTGGTCATGGTCATTCTCATGATCATCATCAGCATTGTTACCTTTACAATGCTTTTCTAAGGGGCCTGTTTCAAAGGAATTGGAACCCTCAAGGTTGGCTTCCTTTGGGTCTCCCTTTTCCGGTGCCGAGCCTCACAAAAAGACACCCCCTGCGGGGGGGGGGGGGGTCGTTTGAACATCAACTCGTTTTTCCCACGGCCACTCGAGGGTTCAAGGCTCATGCGATGTTTGTTACCTTTTTGGGGTGAGTTAAGCGTCAATTGTGTGGGTCAGTTTGAATATTTTTCACTTGTGATGTATATACATATGCCCTGGAAATCAGTGCAGGAGTTAAACTTATTCCTCCGGAATGTAGTAGTTTTACCTCTATGTTGTAGTTTTACCTTTTGTGGGATTTCACCAGTATCGCATGTGCATGATGAATGGCTCGAGGTGGATTGGATGGTGGTTCAAAGCATGATGTGTCGCAACACCTACCACAGCATGCATGCATGTAGCATTGCACATGGATACCCTGGGGGTCAACTCCCATCATGATGAAACTTGGCGGTTAACAAAACATGACTCCCATCAACTGACATGATGTGCATGGATCACATGGGTGTTTCTCAAAACTGGTTGGACCAATTTTTGCAGGTGCTTTCCATGTTGGTTCCCTTTTTGAGAAACCCCCCACATGGAGCATTGATCCCCTGGCATGCCGCACATGGTGCATCAACATGCTGAAGGCCCTTCGAAAAAGCCCGTGCCCCAGTTTGCAACATGCAAGGTTGTGGGAAATGAGGTTTGCCCCAAATCAGGAACGCCACATTGAAGCCAGTGGACATCAAACACAATTGGATGTACTTGGGGTAACACTCATTTGCCATATCCTGAGCACATGTGCCGCATGCATGCATGATCATGGTGAAGGCATGTGAGCTGCTCAATCAGGACAACGGGAGCTTCAACAAAGACGAGATGAAAGAGGTGCCACCCACCACATGCTGCATTCTTGAGATTTGCCCTTTGTTCAAGTATGTCACAGCATATTGCATTTTAGCCGAAAAGCAGAACGCGCTTCACCCATAATTTGATTCGGGTGCCACATCACTAAAATGACAGCTGTGATATTTGAACAAAGGGTGGAACGATCCATATGCCATCACTCAACACGAAGACTGACACTTGCAAGCATGTGTTGCGTGGCCCGATGATGTGATATAGGAATCAAGCCCTGGTGAAAATTATCAGAATGCAACTGCAAACACACTGCACATATCATAATTTTAGAGTTAAGCTGGGGCAACCTAAGTGACACCCCGCAGCAGATCTTTTTACTCACATCGCTTGGTTGGCTGATCTGCTTCGCCCCAATGCCGTGCTCGAAGCCCTGTCGGGAGCGGGTGCTCATGCTTCAGGCAAGTCCCAATTCCCGGGGTTTGGGTTACGCATGGTTTCCCACTTGCAGGACTTCTACAAGGAGTACCTGAAGGAGGGGGACTTCCGCGGGAAGCGGTTGGTGGAGCTCGCTCAGAGGGAGGGGATCAGCGAAGCGAAGCTCTCCCGCTCGATGGCGGATGGCACGGTTGTCCCTGCATGTTTGTGCTAGTTGCTTTCGATCGGCCAAGATGTTTATTTACACGCGTGCTTGATGCATTGATTAATCAACGCACGTCACCAACCCCAAGCATTCGCATCGCTGGACATGTTTCTGAGTGGCATGCACACACGCAATGGTTATCTGCCAGGTGCCAGTGGGCTTCAGCTTTGTGGATGTAAATCCCGAGAGGGGCATCGTGGAGAACACCGTGCGCCTGTCATGTTTCTGCGCACCATGTGCTGCACATGTGCATGCATGTGCATGGGAGAAAGAAAGGGGAGGAGAGAGGCAATAACAAATGTGCTAAGCGCACTCTCTACATGCAGTTTGAGAGCAGTTGCATGGAGCAATCGTGTGAGCATCTTGTATGTTTTGCCAGATCCAGAAGGAGGTCAACACGCGCTTCCTCATGGCCTGGATCCCGAACTTTGCACTTGATGTTCCGACAGAAAAGGAAACCAAGGCGCCTGTTTTTCTTCATGCAAGTGTTCAATCACCCAAGTGGCAAAACTTGCCTCATTGTGTTTGTCAGGAAGCCCTTGCAGAAGTGGCGGTCGCCATGCGGATTGTGAGCGCGACGCAGGTCACTCCAGACGTTCTGGACTGGCATGTGTGCGTAGTTCATGATGCATGGCATGAGGCATGCTGCTGCATTGCATCTTGCGTGAATGCATTGAGACATTGTAGGAATTGTGCTTGAGCTAGACACCGCATCAGACCAGCGTTTGCACAAATGCTTGCTTCTGCATCGGTAGGACTTCGCAGAAGTGGAAGGCAACTTGCACCGCGCCCTTGCAAGCAAGCTCCTGGCCAACTACGCACGGAGGAAGACAGCAAGGTGTGGAGTTAAGTAAGACCAAGAGCGAACTGAACATGAGCGGTCAGGACCAAGGATGGCAACATGCACAAGTTGAAGACCCTCATCAGCATGGTTTTTGAGGACCGAATTTTATGCACACAGGCATGCATAGCACTCACACGCATCATGTAACATGGTTGCGTGCATGCATCACTAAGAGCGGTGTGCAAGAATGATAAATGCCCTCAAGGCCACATGTGCATGCAGTGAACATGCAAACATGTCTCATCGACCTACATGTTCCCAGGAGCATGGCATTGCGAAGCGCACGAGATCCATCCGCAAGCATCACTCCTTGGAGGCCCTCTCGAACCCTCACATGCCATGACGATCACTGTACTTGCCTTTTGTCAGGCTACTCAGCCTGGGAAGGAAGATGAAGCTGAGGAGGGCGAAGAAGAGGAAGAAGAGGCCACCACGGATGATGATTTGCTGAGTGATGATGACTCAGCAAATCATCAGGAGGAGCTGCTGCCTTCGACGACGATGAGGCGGCTGAGCCATGTGGACCTAGAGTCCGGCGAGGAGGACGCGCTGGCGCAGGCAGAAGAGCTCATCAAGGTGGCAAAGAAAAAGCAAGCAGAGGCACTTCTGCTGAAGAAAGCGGCTGAGATGAAGAAGGCCGAGGAGCTGGCGCGCCTAAAGAAGGCTGCGGAGGAGCTGAAGAAGGCGGAGGAGCTGTTGAAGAAGGCCGAGGAGCTGAAGAAGGCAGATGAGGAGCTGAAGAAGGCGGAGGAGCTGTTGAAGAAGGCCGAGGAGCTGAAGAAGGCTGAAGAGCTGAAGAAGGCGGAGGAGCTGAAGAAGGCAGTTGAGGAGAAGAAGGCGGAGGAGCTTCTGAAGGCAGAGGAGCTGCTGAAGGCAGAGGAGCTGAAGAAGGCTGAAGAGCTGAAGAAGGCAGAGGAGAAGCTGAAGAAGGCGGAGGAGCTGAAGAAGGCAGAGGAGCCGAAGAAGGCAGCTGAGGAGCTGAGGAAGGCGGAGGAGCTGTTGAAGAAGGCCGAGGAGCTGAAGGCTGAGGAGCTGAAGAAGGCAGAGGAGCTGAAGAAGGCAGCTGAGGAGAAGAAGGCGGAGGAGCTGAAGAAGGCGGAGGAGCTGTTGAAGAAGGCCGAGGAGCTGAAGAAGGCTGAGGAGCTGAAGAAGGCAGAGGAGCTGAAGAAGGCAGCTGAGGAGAAGAAGGCGGAGGAGCTGAAGAAGGCAGAGGAGCTGCTGAAGGCAGATGAGCTGAAGAAAGCAGCGGAGCTGAAAAAGGCCAACGAGCTGAAGCAAGCGGAGGAGGTGCTGAAGAAGGCTGAGGAGCTGACAAAGCAGATGAAGCTGACAGAGGAGCTGAAAAAGGCAGAGGAGCTGAAGAAGGCCGAAGAGCTGAAGACGGCAGAGGAGGTGCTGAAGAAGGCCGAGGAGCTGATGAAGACAGCAGAAGAGCTGCAGCAGCAGACTGAGGAGATGAAAAAGGCCGAGAAGTCAACAGAGCAGCTGAACAAGGCAAGGGAGGTGCTGGAGCTGGCGGAGAGATTGAGGGTGGAAGAGGAGATGAAGGAGCTGAGGATAGAAGAGGATAAGAGGTCAGAGGAGATGCGCAAGGAAGAGGAGCGAAGGCGGGAAGAAGAGAAGATGGCGACCGAGAAGCGTGAGAGCTTAATCCTTCAACAGAGAATGAGGATGGCCCGGGAAGAGAAGAGGAACTGTGAGTTCATCAGAAAGGCTGAGGAAGAAGAAAGGCGAAAGGAGGAGCTGCGAAAAGCTGAGGAGCAGAAGATCGCTGAAGAGGGTGAGGCGAAGAAGGCAAAGGAGCTGCAGATTGCGGAGAAGCTGCTGAAGGCAGAGGAGGAGCTGAAGGCAGAGGAGCTGAAGGCAGATGAGCTGCAGAAGGCAGAGGAATTGAAGAAGGCTGAGGAGCTGAAGAAGGCAGCCGAGGAGCTGAAGAAGGCAGAGGAGCTGAAGAAGGCAGAGGAGCTGAGGAAGGCAGAGGAGCTGAGGAAGGCAGATGAGCTGAGGAAGGCAGAGGAGCCGAAGAAGGCAAAGGGGCCGAAGAAGGCAGCCGGGGAGCTGAAAAAGGCAAAGAAGGCAGCTGAGGAGCTGAAGAAGGCAAAGGGGCTGAAGGCAGATGAGCCGAAGAAGGCAGAGGAGCCGGACAAGGAGGAGGAGCTGCTGAAGGCAGACGACGAGCTGCTGAAGGCAGAGGAGCTGAAGAAGGCAGAGGAGCTGAAGAAGGCGGAGGAGAGGAAGAATGCATCAGAGGAGCCGAAGAAGGCAAAGGAGAGGAAGAAGGCAGAGGTGTCAGATGAGCCGGATAAGGAATTCGTGGCTTTGACAACTGCCATGCGAGCTGTGAGCGCTGGGGAGGAGGCTGAGGCATTGCGACGAAAGCGCAAAGCAACAACAGCCCCGGAGAGCAGCAGGCCTGAAAAGCGGCAGAAGCGAGAAGCCACTGTGCCCTCAACTCAGCTGACACTTATGGACATGCCAGCAGCTAAGTG